ACAACTCCCCTGCTTGAGGTAAGTACCATCCAGAGCCTGTACCCCTGACCCTCCTGCTCCAGTCCTGATTCCCCTCCTGCCCTCTGAACTCCTTGGTCGCAGCCCACGCACTCACCTACACCCCAAACTCTTCATCCGGAGTCTGCACTCCCAACCACAGGCCTCACCTTCCCACATCCCCAATCCTTAGCCTTTAACCAACTCCTATACCTAAACCCCTCATTTTTGGCCTGACCCTGAAACTCCCACCCCTGCCCACTACGTCACCGTACCAGAGCCAGCCCAGTGAAAATAAGCAAGTAAGAAGAGAGGGTAGAGAGAGCAATAGGGGATGTGGGTGGAGTGAATGAGGGCAATGCCTTAGAGAAAGGGTGGAATAGGGTAAGAGTGGGGTAGGGCAAGAGTGTTCAGTTTTGTGGAAGTAGAAGGTTCTCAACCCTAACTCTAGTTGAGATTAGTAGAAGGTCAAGCCTTCTGAAAATCAAGCCCTATAGACATAGTGATAAGCTTTGGAGACTTCATACATGTTGATATGTATCACACAGCCATAGTGTATATACCTTGTACAAGTTGGAGGGAAAGGACACTTTTAGCCAAGCATTGTGGGACATCCTTATACATGGCAGTGGAGACTGAAATGCAGGCACCATAAATTTACTGTAACTAGTATGAAAGAGTGAATATCAAAGTATTTCTTTTGTAATAGCAAGGTCTACAATGCAAACATCACCCATCTGATGTTTGAAATGGCAGCATTTTTAATGACATGTACATAAAAAGAGTTAGGGTTGCCAGGTATCCGGTTTTGAACCAGACAGTCCGGTATTTGAGGTTTCTGTCCGAGAAACAAATTGAGAAAATACCAGACATATAAATGTCCAGTATTTTCTAATTAAGGTTTATTATTATCATTAGTACCAGTACATAGTTGCGTACTGCCTCAAACACTGTGTGAGCGTGTCCATCAGCCAGGCAGCACGCAACTACGCAATAGAGGGGGGGAGGCGGGGCTGGGGCAGGATGGAATCCCCGGGGCTGGACTTGCCCGTGTGCCCTGCTGGGACCGTGCGTGGGATGGGCAGCCAGGGCTGGCCTGAGCCATTTGTGCACCCCGGGCCCCAGGAGCGTGGCCCCACCCCCAGGAACCTGGCGCATGCGTGGCCCCGCCCCGGGTGCGCGGTGCATGCATGGTGCCACCCCCACACAGCCCGGCAGCCCCGCGTGGCGCCCCCTACAATGGGGTGCCCTGGGCAGTAGCCCAGTCAGCCCGCAGCTTGGGCTAGCTCTGCGAGCAGCACCCCGGGATCTACTTGTGCTCGGGACAGTCCTGCTCCCCCTAACTCCCTCCTGGCCAGCCCTGCTCCCCTCCTGGCCAGTCCCTCCCACCCCGATCTGAGATCAAATGTATTCGGTATTTTTTTTTTTCCAAACTATCTGGTAACCCTAAATGGAATCACAGATTCCTCAATCACATGTGAGTTAACATGAGAGGCACAATGTGTTCCAGGTGATTCAGACTGCCAAGGACTTCTGAGTTTTAATCCAGGTTCTACAACTAACTTTCTCCCTGGCCTTGGGCAAATCACTTTGCCTCTGTTTCTTCATTTGTATAAGGAAGCTAAAATGTATATTTCAGAGAGGTGTTAGGAAGGTTAATTAGTTAATAAGCAGTTGGAGGTATAAATTAGTACTCATTTTTTGTGCTCTATGAATGATTTGTCAGATACTTCCCAAACCAACCTATTTACATTTTCTGTGTAAATATCATACATACAGCATACTATTGTGGGACATATTGGTTTTGTGCCATCTGCGTGTCACATTCTTCATCCTTGAAAAACATTAAAAATAAAGATTTGTTATTTAGTTTCTTATGAGCTTTACATAAAATATTTTGCTATGAAACATATTTATAGAAAGAGTCTCGTAATAAATATTGATGGGGAGGCAGAGAAGTAGTCAAGTTGTTTTATTCATTTCTTCAGATAAATCTGTTACTCTAGATCTCTTCTGAAAACTAATAAAAATGTAAGTCTGGGATGGGGCAACAGATTTCTAAAAACCTGCCTTGTTTCTAAAATTTGTTGTCTTGTAGTGTTACGCACTTGGCTTTAAAGAAGACAGAGGCATGTGTGAGCATATGTATGAGGAAGCTTAAGTTTTTCAATAAGGTAACCTGGTAATACCTTGTTCTACTTAATATTTTCCTGGATGAAGCTCACTGTAGGATGTGGGCCATAATATAGATTATACTGGTAGTTTTGCAACTTGAATTAAATAAATGTGAAATAGTTTTTCCTCCTCCCATCCCCCCCCCCCCCCCCCAACAGGCAAATCACTGATAATTGTGAGAAAATTTCAAAGGGACAGAATATACAGTATATAGTGGTTTTATTGCCATGTATGTCCCAGAATATTAGAAAGACAAGATGAGTGACATAGTATCTTTTGTTGGACCAAATTCTGTTGGTGAGAGAGACAAGCTTTCAAGCCATAGAGCTCTGTGTGCACAAAAGCTTGTCCCTCTCACCAACAGAAGTTGGTCCAATAAAAGGTATTCCTTCACACACGCACCCCTTGAAAATAAAGTATTATTCACTGTATACTGCAAATCTTATTAGGAATTTAAAAACATTAGGTCTTCAAAAACATTAGGTGTCATTCTGTTCTCCAGATGCTTCATTGCTAGGCTACGTCTATAATGCAGGCTTTTTGTGCAAGAATGGCTGTTCTTCCGAAAAACTTGCAGAGCGCCTACACTGCACTTGTGTTCTTGCACAAGTAAATTTACAGTAAAGCATCAGAAGAGAGGGTTTCTTGTGCAAGAGTTATTCCTCTCCCCACGAGGAATAAGCCCTCTTGTGCAAGAAGGCAGTGTGGATGGGCAACAGGAGTTTCTTGCGCAAGAAACCCCTATGGCTAAAATGGCCATCAGAGCTTTTTTGCGCAAGAGAGCGTCCACACTGCCATGGACGCTCTTGCGCACAAGCACATGGTAGTGTGGATGCACTTTTGTTCAAGAACTCTTGCGCAAAACAGTTCTTGTGCAAGAAGCCTGCACTGTAGACGTAGCCCTAGTGTTGGGGAAGGTGAGGGGGTTAATAGAAAAATTTTCTAAGATAGAATTTTGGTATTTGAGGATTTAGTATTTTGCTGGAAATATACCAAGCAGCTTTTAACATTGGATTAACTGTCCCCTGTCGAAATATGTTTTAGTACTCAACTGTAATGCCTACCCAAATAGATAGCTAAATGTGGCTTGATGTCTACCTAATAAATGCAGCTCATAGGTAGAGGAGTTAGTGCAGTGTTTCATTCTGGAAAAAACCTTAAGTTAACTTTCTAAAGGATGTAGTAAATTTAAAAAATAATTAATGATATCCCCAGTGTCTTGTAATTATGGGTTTACATCGAGGCAAACTCTCTTTTAAAAACTTACGTTGTCCTAAGTCTGGGCAGCAGTTCCTGACAGATGCTGTTGACATACTGATGTTTTCTGTTCTAGAACATCCTCTCTTTTTCCATCGTGAAGGAAAGCTCTTTTAGATACCCAGAGTATGCCTTAGTCCTACCATGAGTCTCAGGCTCTGAATCATGTCTACAATAAATCTACTCCCCACAGCTAAAGAGGCTTGTTGTTCTTTAGAACATGGGAGGGGGAAGGGTGGGTGAGGCAGTTTGAGTCATCTTGGTTTATACTGGCGTACATTTCTTACCCATAAATTGGGATTGGCAAAAATTAACAGTGGCAAGAAGCCTTGCATTTGTCCCATTTTTGCATCTAACAGCACTTACTGCAGCCATAAACATTCATAGCCATGTGTGGGGGGCAAAGTGAAAATGAAATGTGGTACAATTCTAAGTGTTAATAGACAAACACTGATTCTTTTCAAACATGTGTTGTCCTGTGCATTTTTAAAGAGTTGTAGATAGCTGTGATCCCCAGTATCTTTCAGGTTGCCAAGTAGATGTGTTGATTTCTTACAAACTATTTCTGTTTTTCTGGAATAAATCCTTAAAATCATAATATATGAAGAATTACTTGGTAGTGTCTACCTATAAGTTGTAAGAATAATAGATATGGATAGCAATTGTATTGCATACAGACAGGAGAAGTAGAGCTGCTTGTCACTGATTGTTTATTTACATATTTAAATCACTCTGTATTTTTCAAGTTGCATGAGTAAACAGATACATAAATAGAAGAGGGGCTTATATGTTTTCCTTTGCTTTGAAAATCTCAACTTGTGTATGTGAAAGAGAGAGAAATATTTGTATTTTATGAATTATATTTAATTATAAGTTTTCTCATAATGAGCTGGGAAATGCATGTTTCTATTTTATTTTAGAAAATAGATATTAATGGGGACAGAGAATGAGTTGATGGCTATATAAAACAAATCTCAGTATGAGGATTTACTTGAATATGTGACAAACATTTCTCTTTGGATACTGTTAATTCTGAGTGTCCCTGTGAGGCGAGGGGGTTTCCTGCTGTAAAGCACTAGCACTGTTCAGCATGGGCGTTTTTCGATTTGAGCTTTCTCCCTTTTTTTTTTTTTTTTAACTCAATGAGTGTCCTTTATTTAACCCCGGCAATTCATAAAGTTCTCTGCCATACAGTTGGGACTGCCCTGTCATATGACTAAGCCTATGATTGGTCAGCAGCTAATTGGCGGTTCTCTATAAGAACTCCCTGCTGTAGAGCTAACTGAAGCTTTGACTCTCTTCCACTGCTGAATTACACTTAGATTGTAACTCTGAGATTAGAGTGATTCAGCAACATGTGATAAAAGTTATCAGTGCTGTGGGCTTGGTGGAGTTGTTGATAGACAATAAAGCCTGCTGAAGCCAACTTGGATTAATGAGCGTCACCTATGAACTGGTAACTGTAACGTTGTTCAGAATGTTTAGTGTATAAGAATAATGCTGTTTAAAATCTTTGCCAGGAACGTGTATGGACTTATTATCTTTTTCATTTCTTCTTTGTTTTGTCATAGGAATGAAATGCTGATAGCTTTTTACTTTGGAGAGTTACTAAGAAAAAAAATCATTCAGTCAGTCTATAACAAAGGCATTTTTAAATCTGATTTATCTAGCTGCGATGAAGAATTTTAGTTAATGGAAGCTGCTGCAGTCTGTCCCAAGGATTATTCAGAATGGGTAAGTGTGAAATGACATTGCCTACTAATGGACATCATCTGGTCCATGTTATAAAATTGTTTGAAGATTCTTAGTAGTGTAACTAAGACAACTTAGAAAAACACAAACCTGGTTATTCAGTCTAGTTAAACATAAATTTTAAAATGACGTTTTTGGGGTTGGAAGGAATGTTTAACTCTTAGTTTACTAAACTTTTTTAGGAACTACGGATAAAAGTGAATTTAATACACGTTGTCGTGATGTACCTTTTAGATAGTTCTAACAATTAAATATTTGGCTCTTAATAAAAGGGGTGTAAAAACTTCTTTAACATAGTATTTAGTAATTGTAGAACTTGATGTCTCAAGTAAAATGGGGAGACTACTTATCTTATGCACTGGTTGTGTATTTTTACCAGGTATTGCTGTGTCTGTAACATAAAATTTTTAAAACTCTGTAACTATTTCATTAGTCACTACTTATTAATTTGGTATGATCATAACACAAAATATGGTCTGACTGTCTAATGTAATAAATAAGTTGACATGATATTCCATGCCTGTCACTTAATCTGTTAGCTTCTCTTCCCTAATTCTGTCCTATCATTCAGAGAGAACTGAAATTTAGCCTGAGTAAATTGAATCCTATCAGTCTACTTAGTCTAGAAATAACCACAACCTATATTTGAAGAAAAAATGTTACTTGTACTTTTAAGCGTTTTTGGTATGACCTCAAATGGGGACAAAGATAAAAAGCTACTGTGGGATTTTGAGACTGTTTTCAATTCTTTTATATCTTTTTTAATATTGTCTTTTTAAAAAGGGGTTAGATAGTAGAAGGATGACTTTTATTCTCTAAATTGTTCAAGTGCTTTTCTTTATTTCCTAATACAATGTTCGGAAGCTCTTTGAACAGTACTTTTCATAAAAATAGAACTCAAGGTTACTGTGTGACTAAATTGATTGCAAAAATGAGCAGGAAATGTCTAATAAGAGCAATAAAAATAATGGACTTTAAGATAAGAATGTCTTTTAAAGGCAGTGTTCCTAACAAATCAGGAAGAATGTGACCCAGCCCTTGCAATCAGATTCTTTTTCTTAGTTAAGGTGTGGTCAGGCAACACCTGGGAAAATGTTACTCGTTAGCCTTAAGGTGTCTGTGTTTAGAGGGTCTATATTCTCTTTGAAAATCATGAGCAAGGAATGTTTCACTTATTAATCTGCTAATTAATATTCCATAATAGTCCTACAAATGCAAGAGGCTAAAATTCTGCAACGAGTACTTTTTTCCAAATAACGTGTGTTAAAATTACATAAAGCCTTTTCCATCCCCTCCCCAAAACCCCCCTATTTTAATGGATTTGTCTGTTTTTAACCTAATGCCTCTCCCTCATGCCTTTTGGTTCTGAAATACTTGTATGAGCAAAGACTGTTTGACTCATTCAAATGAAAGGGAAATATCAGAAACTAAATAAACGTTCCAGTTGAATTCCCTTTAGATCATGTCTGTTACTTTTGTGTTGTGTCATACCATTGACTGTTTCCAATTTATTCATAAAAAGCTTGCATTTTTAAGTGTGTGATCTCTCACACAACCACATTTTACCCTGATTTTGGTAGTATATGATTACTGTCCTTTTTTTGTTAGGTAACTAAACTAAGGAAAATATTTACAGATTCTATAAAATGAATATCCTTGAGGAGGTTGTACTGAAAATAAACTTTGTTAAATATGTCAATAACTATGTTTGTAGGTTAAATTAACCCACCGGTGCTTAGGCTCTATAGGTAGTAGATAGAAGTATCTACATACATAAAATTGTTGATTTTTTTTTTTTTAAGTTTTAAGATTCTGGTTGATACATGTAAATTATATAAACAACTTAAAATTAATTTTTCCTTGGGAGAGGGGTGTGTAGAGAATAGAGATAGGGCATTTCCTTTATTAGCATAAAGATTGTTCAATGGCATCCAAAGAATGAAAATATTGTTTCGGTGACAACAACATTCATTGAAAATATTGGGTTTGAAAATATCACTTCAAAACTACAGACCTCCAAGGTTGTTTGTCATTAGACTTGGGGGAGGGAAGTCAGTGCTTACCTAGGATGCATGCCAAAGTGTACTGCTCTTCTGAATAGTATTGTCTGGAAGTGCTAGGTCAGACCAAAATCTGGGTGGTTTTCACACCATGGAAACCCCCCCACCTTCCCTCCCATGTCATAGAGTATGTGAGTAAACTCGGAATTTAGCCCCTTTTTCATGGCAACAAAAATTGCTTTTCCTACAAGTTCGGTTTGGGGGCTTGTGAGGGTGTCATTTTAAGAGCTGAAAGTTTGTGTGTGTGTTTTGTGTGTGATACTGTAAGCAGTTCAAGATACCCCTGAAAATAGACAGAGGGATAGTCATTTTAATTTATAACTTTAAAAACAATGAGCAGTCCTGTGGCACCTTAGAGACTGACAAATATATCATGTGGGTAAAACCCACTTCGTCAGAGGAGTTGGAGTAGAAATTACAGAATCCAGGGGTATATAAGTAAAAGCAGTTTCCTGCTTTTGTAGGACCAGTTGTAAGCTGAATATTGTAGACTGTAGTTATGCACTTTAACGGTCAGAAGAAACCCACTATAAAATAATGGAAGAGGTTTGCCCTTGGGGGTGAGCATGCCATTGTATTTGGCTTGATTTGTTCTGAAAAGTTACTTGTCAGAGCAAGAGTTCATAATCTGAACTGGTGTCACTGCTTTGCTTGGGGATATGAGAGAGACAGAGAAACCCATTTCAAACTTAATATATAAAAAATAGTTGTCAGTCAATAAAACATGACATAGCAGTATTGAGAATATAGGTTTTTATAATTTGGCTTAAAAATAAAAAGTCAATATGATGGGGAAAATCTGTGTTAAACACATCTGAGACTTTTGCATGAAATCGCTGATGTTCTAATTGTAAGTATGGACACGTCATCCAACTAGTAAGCAGCTATTGGGAGAGACGTACAGTGGGCACCAGCTGAGGAGGGGAAACATATGATCCCATGTGACCTTCCCACCTGACTTGTTCTCACCCTCAGCTGCTGGCCCTCTGTGCTCTCCCCACCTCTCCTCCATTGCACGTTACCTGGCAGAGACAGGAAGTGCTCTGTCCTCTCACTGTACATCCTACCAGGCAGCCTCCAGCTAAGCTGCATGCCTAGGACACTGCCCAGTGCAGCACAGCAGCTGCCTGGTGGATTGCACTGCACTGAACTGGGCAGTGCCCCAGGCAGGTAGTGTGGTCGGAATCAGAAGAGGAAATGCTGTGACCCAACACCTTCCCTTCTGGTTCTGCCACTGGCTTCTTGCCCCACCCTCTCCCCCTGGCATCTTTGAGAGGGCCATGTGACCATGTATGTCCCTCTCATAATCACGCCGGCTTCTATTTATAATGCTAAAACATTTCAGGCCTAATGTTGACAACTGTCACCTACTCAGTTCCCAGTGCTGACAAAAATTGACCAATGGCATAGATTTCCAACTACTTGGCTCGTTACAGTTTAGAAACGTGTTTGAAAATGTTCCCCAAAAGAGGTTATTACAGAAAATTGAGTAATAACAGGTAAGAGAGAAAATTCTTTTATGGATGAGAGAGAGAGAGAGAGAGCAAGAGAGAGAGAACGAACGAACGAATGAACACAAAGTTCTTTAGTGGATGCCCCAAGTATCTGCAGGATCTCAGGAAATGATGGTCAATAGATAGATTGAGTCCAAAAGAAAAAATGGACCATGGGGTGGCAGCATTTGTAAGCGTACACAATTATTTATATAAGTTGAGGCTAGTAAGGAACTTCTGAAAGACCTAACCAAAATTAAGAGCCTAGGCAACAAGATGTCAGAAGAAATTCAGTGTAAACAAGGTAAGGTAAAGTACATTGTAGATGGGTTCTAAGCTAACTATAACCCAAGAGATACAAGAAACAGATAAGGCTCACAGAAGAGCATTGAACGGCTGAAAAGTAAAAATTTGAGTATAATTTAAAAGAAAGGCTAATGTCAGGTGAAGTGGTAGAAATACATAGAATAATGAATGGTAAAAGGGTTACTGAGGTGTGTTTTTCATTCTCTCACAACACAAGAGACATAATACAACTACTTAAGAGCCTAGGATTAGGAGAAAACTTCTCCCATAAATGTAACTGTCCATTATGCTATTTAATAAATCAACCAGTTTCATCCACTATGAATTTGGTAGAACTTCCATAACTCAGTTTCTGGCCATAAAATGACAGCATTTAATTACCTTTGTAAAGCCTCTCTGGTTCATACACACTAGATATACATGCAGGTACTTAATACTATAACAAAGATATCACTGTTTCAGTGTTTATAATTTCCCTTTAAATGATGCTGGTCATTGACATGAGAAATTAAGCAAGTCTAGCATGAAAATGAAGTTTGGTTACTATTAATGTTGCCTTGGCAAGAGACTCGCTACTCCCATTAAGAAGCTGAACTTTTGCAATAATGGCACACATGCACACAATGAAAGTGAGCCTTTGGGCTCTGTCTTGAAACTGATCCACACACAGCTTTACTCAGTGGGATTTGTGTGTGGATCAGTGGTGGGATTGGACCCAAAGGATTGTTTTTGGCATTCCCCAAATATTTTGAAGAAAGCAGTTTGGTTTCTAAATGTGTAAACAGTGGGTTGTATTATTAATGGTAACAAAACTAATATTTGTGTTCCAAAATCAGATAGTAAGTGCATGATGTAGCTCTTCACTTGTATTTCTATAAATTAATAATGAATAACTAAAAACTATTGGTTTCAAATCTACTTCATATTATGTAAAAATTATATTTAAACTCTGTATTTATGAAATCATCTACCTAATAGACTTTCTGTATATTTTTAGATATCTCTTTGCACATTGAAGTGTGCTTTGTTTAAAAGTTATAGTCTGTAGCTATTGGCCATAAGTCTTACCTGTTTCACAATTATCATATATCAGATGTTTCATTTTTCTTTTCCTTCAGTAATACCAACTAAAAATAGGTGCATAATGCTGCACAAATATTTTGAATTATTTTTGTCATGGTGAAACATTGTATAAATTAATGCTTATTTTAAAAGCAGCATCTGGTCTAAAATTTGCTACCAGCTGTTCACCCTTAAAGAAAACTTCTCAGTCTGGATAATTTATGAATAATCGAATATTTGTATGTTAGTAATCTCCTTTTGATGACCCTATCTATCAAGCATTTTATTTAGCACTGAATATGAAAATGTCACCAAATTGTCTTGTTTCCCCCTTGAAAATAGTTGTGTTTTTTTTAAACTCACATTGGCAAAAATTTCAAGGTAGAAACCAATTATAACAGAGTATATCGTGCTACTGATAATCTTCCAGGAATAATAATATTTTCACAATACTGCAAATAGTATTTGGGGAAAGGGGTGTTTCTTCCTGATAGATGCAGGTTGATAATCTGACACTGACCTCACCACTACAATACCATAGGCAGGTATGCGCATTATATGTATATGCTCAAAAATATGCTCATAAAAGGCAGAAGCAAGACAGTCTTGCTGTTGCATAAAGGGCAAATGTCTCACCCAGCCTTCTGAAGATACCAGGGAAGAAGCAATGCTGTCAGTTGGACAATACAGATGAGGGATAGCTCATTACTCTTGGGGGAATTCCCTGCAACTGCAAACATGCAGAATTCATGTCCCTCTCACATTTCTTTGCTTCCCCTTGTAGAAAACCACAGAGAAGCTGCAAGACCCATAACTCACCCCTCCATGGTAGCCTGGGTGTGTCATTTCAGGTGTCCAGAGCAGCTAGTGGGCAGCTGAGGGAGAGGTCAGGGCTGGAGATGCCCTAGCTGTTCTTACACTGCACTGGGCTGAACTGCTAGTCTTGGTTGGTCTGGGGTGGGAGAGGAGGGTCTTTCCCTGCTAAGAGTATCCCACCCCCAGAAACTTCCCCAATTGCAGGAAGATCTGACCCCATCACTTGTCAGCCCTGAAGGAAATGAGTCTCCCCAAAGTATCACTCCCATATCCACCCAGTATCTCCCACCAAGCCTCCTGCACTTGACCTTCACTCCCCACTGAGCCTCACCCCCTGCACTTGGACCCCCACCGAGCCTCTTCCACTGCATTCATATTTCTACTCCTGCACTTGGACTCCTACCCCATTGAGCTGCAACCAGCTGTACCCAGACTTCGTCTTCAAGAACCGATTCTCCCAGCACCTGGATCCTTCTGCTGAGCCCCCTGTTTCTCTACATGAGATCTCACCCTACTTCTTGAGCCCCAACCATTATCACCTGCACCCTGCTGCAAAGTCCCATTCCCCCTGCATCCAGAACCTCCAAATGAGATCCTGCGTGTTTAGATTTCTTTCCTCCACATTTGGGGTGTGTCTAGACTACAGGGTTTTGTTGACAAAAGTGGACTTTTGTCAACAAAACTGTACCTGTGTCTACACTACCGCCGAGTTCTGTCGACATAACATCGACAGAACTCGGCACTTTTGTCGACGGTGGAAAATCGCATTCTACGAGGAATAACGCCTTTTGTCAGCAGAGTTCTGTCTACAGAAGGCGTTATTGCATCTACACTGTCCTTTGTGTCTACACTCTCATGTCAACAATGCGGCTTGCTTTGTCGACAGAACTGGATGTAATCTAAACACTCTTTGTTGATAGAAGCTTTGTCAACAGTATCTGTCAACAAAGCCTGTAGTCTAGACGTACCTTAGATGTCCACTGAGCCACCCAACCCAGACTGTCTCACAAAGAACCCACTCACCCCACACCTGGATCCCTCCACACCTAGAGTCTGCTAGATTGAGCTTATCTGCCCCGCACCTGGATCAGGGGCCATGGTTGGGGATGCATGCAAGAATCTAACCCTCCCACTTGCTATTTTGGTTAGGAATGTCAATGTGTAGTCAACTATATGAAAAGCCTGGGCTTATCGGTTAATCCTATCAACTACATGCATTCCCCCCCACAACCCCACTGCCTCTGATACCGGTGTATACAGAGGCAGTGGAGGGGAGACAGGAACTGGTTTTTAAGCTGGCTCTCCACCAGCACTGGATCCCACTGAACCACCTCACTCCCTTCCTCTCCCCCCACCCTGCTGCTGAGAGGCAGCAGTGCAGAGGGTATGGGGAACAGGTGGGAGTCAGTACACATGGGAAGCCGGCTTTTGAGCCGTCTCTCTGCTCATACTGCCTGCCCTTCTCCCTCCTCACACTGCTGCTTCTTATCAGTGTTTGTGTGGGGGGTGGGGGCAGCTTCTATCTGCAGCGAGCCTGGATAGAGGCAGCTTGGGATGCTCGCACATCCTCTGTCCTCAGGGAGCTTGGGGCCCCCGCGGACAGAGGCTGCTACTGCCCCACACAGCTGCCACTATATTAGAGGCAGCTGTATGGGAAAACATATGGGAGATGGTTTGTGTGGGAAGCTGGTTTTTAAGCTGGCTTACCTCATGGACCGGCACCCACCTGCCACCCTGATACAGAGGCAGCAGCAAGGAGTGGCAGAGGGCTCCCTGGGAGTGGGGCCAAGGGTACTCTCGCTGCCGGCCCTGCCCCCAGGAACTGTTGAATAATCGTGTAACCACTAAAATTTGGTGCAGTTACATGATTATTCAATTGCATGATATCTAACATCTCTAATTTTGGTGTGCCTGAGGCTGCGCCCCGCCCCCCCCCCAGCAGACCAGGAAGACGTGGGCGGCGGACCGAGACGCACCGCGGTCCTGCCGCCCGGGTCCTCCGCGGCTTTGCTCCCAGTCTCCCTAGTCTGCTGGAGACCAGCAGACCAGGGAGCCAGGGAGCAAAGCCTCTGAGGACGCCGGCAGCGGGCCAGCCGCAGCGCGCCTGGGCTGCCCCCCTACCGGCTTCCCCCGCGGCTTTGTAAAGCTGTGGGGAGGGCTCGCGCAGGGGGGAGGAAGCCGGCAGGGGGGCAGCCCAGGCGCGCCCCTTTGCTCCGCGTCTTCCTGGTCTGCAGACCAGGGAGACGCGGAGCAGCTTTTCTTGCCAGGGAGTACACGGGCTGCGGGACCACGTGGTCCCGCAGCCCGTGTACTCCCTGGCAAGAAAAGCTGCTCCGCGTCTCCCTGGTCTGCAGACCAGGGAGACGCGGAGCAGCTTTTCTTGCCAGGGAGTACACGGGCTGCGGGACCACGTGGTCCCGCAGTCCGTGTTCGTAACTGCGGATCCGACATAAGTCGGATCCGCGTAAGTCGGGGACTGCCTGTACTGTATTTAGTTATCAGCACTTAAATTCTGTAGTACTATGTGACTTAGAGATATTGAAAATATATCCTCTGTGATTCATTTTCCTCATCTTTAAAATGAGGAGCATTCTGCTAGACAACATTTAGAACATTGATTGGAAAATGTAGTTAATTATGGTCATACCAGTTAAACTACGCTACCAAGTCTTTTTTTTTTTTTTTTTTTTTTTTTAACAGTTTAGAAACTGCACGTCACAGAAAGCTGGAGGTCTTGTCCAAGGCAATGGTTTTGTTGGTGTTACTACAGTAACCTGGGCGAGAGAAAGTATGCTGAAATTGAACTGTTTTCTCACAAATTGCTGTTGAGCACAATGGGGCTGAAGTGAACCGTTGTGCCAGGTTCCACCTATAATCCCTACTCAACTATAGTTAATGGGACTTGTGTGAACTGATGTAAGCATCAAGCCCAAAGGCATGGGGGACTTTTACTCGGCTTTTTTTTTTAAAGGGGAATGAAGAGAGAAGAAAGCAGTTCAGTTGTTAAATGTGAAAGGTGAGGTTTTTCCTTCCCATGGTTACATTACTAATACCAATAAAACTACTTTGGAAGTTATCTTGATGGTATGACAGCCAAAATGGCCCCTTTGTGTTTCTCTTGCCACAAAAGAAAACTCTTTATGACCAGCATTCTCTCTAGACACTTTCTTGTTAGCCATAAGTCATTTGGAGAACTACTTATGTCAGAAGTTCCTTTGAAAAAGAGCTTGCCTATAATGAATGGCCTGCGTGTTTTACAGAGCAATATATTGAAACACTTAAGTGCAAGGGGACACGCCATTTTAGATGAGAAACCTATAAATGAATGAGCAATTTTGCTCCCTTTTAGTGTAAATACAAATGAAGGTTTTTAATAAGTTGAACTATGTTAAAGCTACCATAATTGTAACATGATTTATTGCAGTCTTCCTTAATCACTTTTCTTCAGACTAGGGAATCTATTTTCTGCCTTTTGAGTGGTGGGGGAAATTATTGTAACAGAGATAAGCAGCTTTATGAACTGCCTTTTGCAGAAAAACTTATATAATCTGATAGATATGACATACAAAAAACGTACCACACACATGTTCCTCATGGCAATCTAAATAGCCTGTTCCACATTATTCATTACTTGTAACTAGTTTGCATTGTATACTTTCAGTTACTTTATGGTCTCTTGTCACTTGTTAAACATTTCAGTCTGAATTGCAACTGATTCCAAGTTAATGGTATGCAATCCTATGGTAAAAAATCAGCATATGATTCTACACTGAGTGTTCACATCTACTAAAAAGTTCCTTTTTGTGGACCAGAGCACCAGGAGAGCATGCCAGGGTCACGAAACCAAATAAAAATTTATAAAGTGAATAAATAGTTTAAACAAATCAAGTAGAAAACTTTAATAGTTCCTTTTTGAAAAGGCTGGAGGACCACAATCATCAGGATGTTATGTTTTGTTATGCCAAAGATATTCTGAATTCCTATTAGGCTCAAGGGCAATGGTAGAGGAAGAGTTGGTGAATATTTGAGTGGCATGAGTACTCTTAAAAGACCGTAGTTTCGCTCCAGGATCCTGGTATTAGTTGCCTCATATAATTGTTTTTGGATCCTCCCTATGGTATATGTTCAATCCTCTACAGTGTTATTGGTACTTAAAACAGGAATGTGCATCTGATGTTTCTAGAGTGCAAATTCCTATAATTTACAGTTTCTCCTAGACTCAAGAATAACCCATCCTCTCAATTGTGATGCTTTTCAGGGAAATGATTCAGTACTCTTTAGTGGCTTAAAACAATGGATTAATGACACACCTATTTTAAATGGGATGCCTGTTTTTTGCAAGTCTATAAAAGATGTGAAGTGATATGTGGTGTAGTATACATTCTCTATTGTATAGAGATTCATTCACTTCATGGTATTTTCTTGCTCTATAATAGCTGCTAAATTAGTCACCATAAGAATGTGATTTGTTAAATACTTAGTTTTAAAACAATTCAGAAATGAAAGTGTCTGGCAGCATAATATATTCCTAGGAGTTTCTCTGATAATCTGAGCCACTGTTGAAATGGTAGATTTCATTCACAGTTTGCCAGTTAAATGAACTTCACCATATTTTTCCATATTAGGCATAACTACATGAGCAGAAGAGCTAAGGTCTTCTTAGCAATGGGTTTGTTGTGTCCTCAGTTCATGTATTAAATTGCTGGTTCACCATGCAAATAAAATAGTAAGAGGGGTTATGCTTTCTTTCATCCCCCATGTATTGAATAGTAGGTGCTCAGTGGAGGTAAGGAGTTGAATGTTCACATGGGCACATACATTCTGTATCAGTATAGCATAGTTACAACCTGTCTGCTCATAGAGGATCTGTGTACTTGATTGGACAGCTGACCAACATGAATGCATTTTGGCTGCCTTGTATTTCTGACCATATCTTGGGCTGTACTCTCCAGACTGATTATGCAGTGAATAGGGCACAGCAAAATGAGTCAGTTCCTGTTCTTTTGGCTGAAGCTTCATTAAGAGTTCTCAAGAAAAATTTCAGAATGTGGATGTGGTCAACATAGTCATTTTCCTGGCATCTCAAAGGAAACCCACATAAACTGTGAATGTGAACTTTGAACTATTATCCCTCCAATAACAGAAAAGGAAAAGCATTTTGTGGGAATATTCACTTGCAGCTCACCCTATGTCACAACCTGCACATTTTATATAGAAATAATTCTTAATAGCTGGTCTATATTGTATCTTTCATGATAGATATCAACTATATCCCATTTTCTCTTCCAAAAACACCAGTTTGGGGTAGAAGACGAATAAGAACAATGCTTTTCATCTGTTTCATATTCAAGCCAAAATTTTTTTGTTTTTGTTTTTAAAGGCATTTTAGATTTTTAGTTTTCATTGTAACTACTTGCTGAACTACATAGAAATCTGAAACCAGCCCATCAGTTCCACACTTAGTGTTTGTATCATCATGGCTAAATATTTTAGATGAAAATGTCACTGTCAAAACAAAAACTTTAAAATTGAGAAACTTTACAGCAAAGCGGCTTTTAAAATTGCAACAGATTGATTTTTAATAGGCAATGAAATAGTCAGTCATATTCCAAAGAAGTCATTTTAAATAGTAAGTGAAGATTATTTTTGAAAATCTAAACTATTGTAACATTCTTTCACTGATTTTCTTACGAAATTCATGTATTAGAGCCTGGTTACTAAGTATTTTACCATATGAATTCAGGGACCACAGATCTCCACAGTCCTAGAGAGAAGTACTGCATTTTATGTTCAACATTTGATCACTATCTTGATGTGCTGCTGTTTGTATCGCAGTAACATTCAGAAGCTCCCTTCGTGGACTAGGGACCGTACAAACATAGTACAAAAAAATAAATAAAAAATTTCTCCCTCCTGAAGAATTTACAGAAGAACAAAAAAATGACCATACTGCACCAGCTAGTTTAGTATCTGTCTTCCAGCAGTGGCCAGTACAAGAGGCTTCAGAGGAAATTAACAGAACAGGGCAATTTATCAAGTGATCCATCCCCTATTTTCCAGTCAGAGGTTCAGAAAAACCACAGAAATTAGCATAGTATACATACCCTGAGAAAAGTACTGCCTGCATCCTCCATGAACATATCTGATTCCTTTTTTTTCAGCCCCATTATACTTTTGGTATTCACAGCATCCTCTAGCAAGGAGTTCCACAGATTGACTGTTTGTTTTGTGAAAAAGTCCATTTGTTTGTTTGTTTGTTTTTGTTTGTTAGCTACTGCCTGTTAATTACCCGAATATTACATTTTATTATATCACTGATTTTTAAGTGGTTGCTACTTTAGAAAATTGTTGCTTTCTTTGCTGTGCTTTTTTCTTTTGTAGGAAGAAATGGAAGGACTAGCTATACAGAAGTTTGTAAGCTGTTTAGGTCAGGGCTGTCTAGGTGTTGGCACAGTAGGAGCCTGGTCTATGAGTGGGGTTGCTAAGCAGTATGGCAGTATAAATAATAAATCTTTCCAAATAAAAAAGGCTGTTAATTGAGGTTTCATCAGGAAAGACTAAAAAGTCTGAATAGTGATAGAGATGTAGCCGTGTTAGTCTAGTGTAGCTGAAACAAAATACAGGACTATGTAGCACTTTAAAGACTAACAAGATGGTTTATTAGATGATGAGCTTTCGTGGGCCAGACCCACTTCCTCAGATCAAATAATGGACTATTTTTGATACATTATTAATAATGGTTGTGACTATTTTCTTCCATTATTTGATCTGAGGAAGTGGGTCTGGCCCACGAAAGCTCATCATCTAATAAACCATCTTGTTAGTCTTTAAAGTGCTACATAGTCCTGTATTTTGTTAAAAAGTCTGAGGCGTAGCTGTGTTCGTCTGTAACTTTAAAAACGAGTGATCCAGTGGCATCTTAGAGACTAACAAAAATATAAAATCATCTTTAAGTAGTTGATGTATTTCCATTTCATACAGCTAAACGCAGTGCCTTGCATGTTTAAAAAGTATCAGAAGGTAACCTCAGCGACTTCTAATATAATCTAGGCCAAGGGTGGGCAAATACCAGCCTATGGGCCAGATTCAGTCTACTAGGGTTAGCTCCTAGGGGGCCCCCACCACTATATTTACCTGAATAACTGCAGGTACCAGCCATCACAGCTCCATCTGGCCATGGATCACTGTTCCCAGCCAATGGGAGATTTGGGAAATGGTGTCCCTGTCCATGCCACTTCCTGATACCCCCATTGGCCAGACAAGGCAATCCATGGTCAACAGGAGCTACGATCACAGGTACCTGCGACCATGCAGATATATATAGTGGTGGCAGCCTACCACTGTGTTATTGCCCACCCCTGATTTAGACTGCCTCTGGAATTGTGTCCCTACTGAGTTTGTCTCTGCATACGGTCTGAAATTTTGAATGGCCATTTTCTTTATTTGTGCCTGGAATGGGATTGCATCTCATAAAACTGTACACAAAAGAGAGAGAATCGTGAGGCAGGTGAAAGGGCCCAGCTGGATCCCTACCCCATCGGGGACTCCCATTCCCCAGATGCCCATTAGGGAGGCCTGATTTGTACAAGAACATTGCTGGCTGTTCCCCTTTGTCAGGGAGCGAGGGGAAAGTGCACAGTTGGTTGCATTCCTCACTTTGGCTGGGGAGTGCAAGGGACAGACAAATTGTGCACTTTGCTCTCAATGCCTGATAAGAAGGGGAAGAGCAAGCAACCCTCGGGGTGGGAAGAGCTTTGTCTTCTCCCACACACAACCCCTGCCCAGAACTGCTCCTCACTCCCCAACCTTGACTCCTGCACTCCCCCTGCCATGAGCCCTTCCTTAAAAATCTGAATTACTCGGGGTGCTAGTTGCTTATATTTTCCAGGTTAGGACCCTTTCTCCTCTCCTCTCCTCTCCTCTCCTCTCCTCTCCTCTCCTCTCCAATGAAAGCAAACAAATGAAGTGATCAAAAATGAAAGTGTATAATTCCCTCACTAAACAGTTTTTTCACATTTTTCCAGATGGAGATACATAAATCCAATTTGGGGTTCTCAGTTGATTAAATGTGAGGTAGACCTGACCAGCATTTTCATTATAATTGTATCCATTGTGACTTGCATTCTTTAGGTGGGAGCATTATATGCTTTCATTTTTTATTACTTCATTTTTTCTTGGTCTTAAATATTTTGTTACAGTTGTGATCAATGTTCCCTCTAAGCTGCGTGGCAGCACAGCTTTTTAGGCTATTAATCAGCCCCGCCCAGACAGAGGCTCAGAGCTCCCTGTGGACTGGATGGGGTTGATTAATCACCTGTGAAGCTGTGCCGCCACACAGTTTTGAGGGAATACTGGTTGCAATCTATTTTTTGGTTTAGCAAAAAGGTTAATGATAATGTTTGACTAGGTACTCTATTAAATATATCCCTCAGAAATATCGTTTCATTTGTAGGAAAGAGAACAGGTGTTTTTCAATTACTGGTGATGGAGGCAATCTCTATGCTTAGGAGTGCAATTTTCTTCATTACCCATATTATAAATAAATGTGTGTTTTTAGGTAAAAAGCCACATCCCCAGGTCGTCCACTTAGTTTTTGTTTTCTCTTCCTTAGGCTGTCTTGGGGCATCATTTTGACAAAGTTCAGCAGCACATTCTTTCCTTGTGTGGCCATCCTGCATACATAACGTTTCTCTAAAAGTGTAGCCTACTATGTTTTTCTCATTGCTAAAATTGTCATCCTCCTCCCTCTCTTTGAAAGAGACACAATGGTGACATTTTGGGAGAGGCCATTCTTATAGTATGGGGAAGTCTAACTTACCATGTGCTATGGATAAAGCTCACAGTCATTTGACTAAGCTTTTAGGGCAGAGATTGTGGCCCTGAATTAGAACTCTGTGCACCTCCACTGAAGTCACCCAGTGTTTTGTCATGAGGATTTATTATAAGTCAAAATCGGTAATGTTAACTCAGATAACTGTTACCAGAGATGATGTTTCAGAGATTTTTTCAGGTTTAATATAAGGAGAGATGTTAATCTTTTTAAGTAGTCAATAGCTAATAAATATGGCGCCACACTATAAAGGTGCATTGGCCAAAGAGTAGCCCACAACCATACTGATCTTTAAATTTCCTTTGGGAATTGCAATACCTGACAGTTTATTATGACTTCTCCATTTGAAGAGCTAGTAATCTCTTTACAGGCTGCATTGCATCTCTGTTAAAAATTAGGATGGTTCACTCTTCTCTTCTTTGGGCAAAGAAGTTGTGGCTCTTGGCATCTAAAGTGATTTCTAAAGTGATCCTTCTTAGCTGGGCAAACTTTGGGTGTTCCCTTGACTGTTAAGCCAATCTACTGGTTTGGTTCCTTTTATTCAGCATTTTTAGCTCTCCAATATTGAGAGTGATTTGTATTGTAGAACTCATTCATCCTGTATTTCCAATAGAAAAGTTAATGCAATGTTCCCTTTTTTTAAAATACCCATTGGGACCAAAAATATTTACAAAACAGATCTTCCCATTGGGATTGTTAACTCCAATAAAATTATTCTGAAAACTGGTAACCTGTTTTTCAAGGGTGTTGATTGTCTTCATCATCTTGGAAAATCAGACCAGTAGTTCTCCTTTTAATACTTGCCTCATTTATTCTGTTTTGAGAATGTTGCTACAAATACTCAGATTCATTTGAACTTACCAGTAGTAGGTGCTGAGGCAATAAGAAAAAAATATTATAGATTAAGATTTTCAAACAAACTTTCAGCACCCAAACCTACTCCATGTTTAAACAGCTAAATGGAAATGATGTAAACTTTTTTTCACACACAGCTCCTATTAACTTAAGTGAGAGTTGTTCAGTGCTCTGCATCTTATGAGGATCAGGCCACTTTTATTTAGGTCCTTAAAGATTGACACTGTATTTTTCTAGAATGTATATGCTGGAAGGAAATAAAATAAAATATCCACTTATGATAGTCCCAAGGAATGGACTGTATAGTTGTAGCTGTGATGTTTGCATTAAATGTTTCATGCATTCTGTTTGAGGAGTTTAGACTCAAAAGTATAATTTCCAGACCTTCAAGAATTCTTTTAAAATGAGCATGGGTTAAAGACACCGATCACAAAAATTACATTTATAAGCAATTAAAACTGGTTTTAGTCTGTATGGGAATGCCAGTGGTTTTGCCTTTAGGAACTTGTTTTAGAAGGCGCTGCCAACCACACGCCTCCCCAGACCTGCTCATACTAGTATTGTCTGGAAGAGCAATTAAAAATACCTTGGACAGGAATTTCCCTGACTATGTTCAGCCCAATCTGAAACTTTACTTAACAAAGCAATTTATTAAATAGTGGGATAATCAAGTGACCATCAGCTGGTGTCTGTGTTTGATCAACACAGTCAGAGGGTCTCGGGTATGCAAGAGCTGGAATCACTACAAACATACGGCCTGCTCTGGAGATATCCTGGCTC